TCATAGGACCCTATGGGAAATACATACAAATGTCTTCTTTTAGAGAACCACTGAATGGAATGAAACCAAACATGGCATGAATGTTCTTTATGAGCTGTTGACCAAGTGTTGTTACTTTGAAGCCGATCCATCATCCAAGATGGCCGCCAGCGGGGGACTAAGTTTAGCATAGGACCCTATGGGAAATATATACAAATGTCTTCTTTTAAAGAACCACTGAATGGAATGAAACCAAACATGGCATAAATGTTCCTTATGAGGTGGTGACCAAGTGTTGTTACTTTGAAGCCGATCCATCATCCAAGATGGCCCCCAGCGGGGGACTTAGTTTAACATAGGACCCTATGGGAAATACATACAAATGTCTTCTGTTAGAGAACCACTGAATGGACTGAAACCAAACATGGCATAAATGTTCCTTATGAGGTGCTGACCAAGTGTTGTTACTTTGAAGCTGATCCATCATCCAATATGGCCGCCAGCGGGGGACTTAGTTTAACATAGGACCCTATTGGAAATACATATTTATAAATGTCGTTTTTTAGAGAACCACTAAATGGAATAAAACCAAACATGGCATGAATGTTCCTTATGAGGTGCTGACCAAGTGTCGTTACTTTGAAGCCGATCCGTCATCCAAGATGGCCGCTAGCGGGGGACTTAATTTAACATAGGACCCTACGGGAAATACATACAAATGTCTTCTTTAAGAGAACTACTGAATGGAATGAAACCAAACACGGCATGAATGTTCCTTATGAGTTGCTGACCAAGTGTTGTTACTTTGAGGCCGATCCATCATCCAAGATGGCCGCCAGCGGGGGACTTGATTAACATAGGACCCTAAGGGAAATACATACAAATGTCTTCTTTTAGAGAACCACTGAATGGAATGAAACCAAACATGGCATGTATGTTCCTTCTGAGGTGTTGACCAAGTGTTGTTACTTTGAAGCCGATCCATCATCCAAGATGGCCGCCAGCGGGGGATTTAGTTTAACATAGGACCCTATGGGAAATACATACAAATGTCTTCTTTTAGAGAACCACTGAATGGAATGAATCCAAACATGGCATGAATGTTCCGTATGAGGTGCTGACCAATTGTTGTTACTTTGAAGCCGATCCATCATCCAGGATGGCCGCCAGCGGGGGATTTAGTTTAACATAGGACCCTAAGGGAAATACATACAAATGTCTTCTTTTAGAGAACCACTAAATGGAATGAAACGAAACATGGCATGAATGTTCCTTATGAGGTGTTGACCAAGTGTTGTTACTTTGAAGCTGATCTATCATCCAATATGGCCGCCAGCGGGGGACTTAGTTTAACATAGGACCCTATGGGAAATACATACAAATGTCTTCTTTTAGAGAACCACTAAATGGAATGAAACCAAACATGGCATGAATGTTCCTTATGAGGTGTTGACCAAGTGTTGTTACTTTGAAGCCGATCCATCATCCAAGATGGCCGCACGGAGGGACTAAGTTTAACATGGGACCCTATGGGTAATATATACAAATGTCTTCTTTTAGAGAACCACTGAATGGAATGAAACCAAACATGACATGAATGTTCCTTATGAGGTGCTGACCAAGTGTTGTTACTTTGAAGCCGATCCATCATCCAAGATGGCCGCCAGCGGGGGATTTAGTTTAACATAGGACCCTATGGGAAATACTTACAAATGTCTTCTTTTAGAGAACCACTGAATGGAATGAAACCAAACATGGCATGAATGTTCCGTATGAGTTGCTGACCAAGTGTTGTTACTTTGAAGCCGATCCATCATCCAATATGGCCGCCAGCGGGGGACTTAGTTTAACATAGGACCCTATGGGAAATACATATTTATAAATGTCGTTTTTAGAGAACCACTGAATGGAATGAAACCAAACATGGCATGAATGTTCCTTATGAGGTGCTGACCAAGTGTTGTTAATTTGAAGCCGATCCATCATCCAAGATGGCCGCCAGCGGGGGACTAAGGTTAACATAGGACGCTATGGGAAATACATACAAAAGAGGGACGAAAGATACCAGAGGGACAGTCAAACTCATAGATCGAAAACAAACTGACAACGCCATGGCCAAAAATAAAAAGACAAACAGACAAATAATAGTACAGATGACACAACATAGAAAACTAAAGACTAAGCAACACGAACCCCACCAAAAACTGGGGGTGATCTCAGGTGCTCCGGAAGGGTAAGCAGATCCGTGGCCGCCAGCGGAGGACTTAGTTTATCATAGGACCCTATGGGAAATACATACAAATGTCTTCTTTTAGAGAACTACTGAATGGAATGAAACCAAACATGACATGAATGTTCCTTATGAGGTGCTGACCAAGTGTCGTTACTTTGAAGCCGATCCATCATTCAAGATGGCTACCAGCGGGGGATTTAGTTTAACATAGGACCCTATGGGAAATACATACAAATGTCTTCTTTTAGAGAACCACTGAATTGAATGAAACCAAACATGGCATGAATGTTCCTTCTGAGGTGTTGACCAAGTGTTGTTACTTTGAAGCCGATCCATCATCCAAGATGGCCGCCAGCGGGGGATTTAGTTTAACATAGGACCCTATGGGAAATACATACAAATGTCTTCTTATAGAGAACCACTGAATGGAATGAAACCAAACATGGCATGAATGTTCCGTATGAGGTGCTGACCAAGTGTTGTTACTTTGAAGCCGATCCATCATCCAATATGGCCGCCAGCGGGGGACTTAGTTTAACATAGGACCCTATGGGAAATACATATTTATAAATGTCGTTTTTTAGAGAACCACTGAATGGAATGAAACCAAACATGGCATGAATGTTCCTTATGAGGTGCTGACCAAGTGTTGTTACTTTGAAGCCGATCCATCATCCAGGATGGCCGCCAGCGGGGGATTTAGTTTAACATAGGACCCTATGGGAAATACATACAAATGTCTTCTTTTAGAGAACCACTGAATGGAATGAAACCAAACATGGCATGAATGTTCCTTATGAGGTGTTGACCAAGTGTTGTTACTTTGAAGCTGATCCATCATCCAATATGGCCGCCAGCGGGGGACTTAGTTTAACATAGGACCCTACGGGAAATACATACAAATGTCTTCTTTTAGAGAACCACTGAATGGAATGAAACCAAACATGGCATGAATGTTCCTTATGAGGTGCTGACCAAGTGTTGTTACTTTGAAGCCGATCCATCATCCAAGATGGCCGCAAGGAGGGACTAAGTTTAACATGGGACCCTATGGGAAATATATACAAATGTCTTCTTTTAGAGAACCACTAAATGGAATGAAACCAAACATGGCATGAATGTTCCTTATGAGGTGCTGACCAAGTGTCGTTACTTTGAAACCGATCCACCATCCAAGATGGCCGCCAGGGGGGGGGGACTTAGTTTAACATAGGACCCTATGGGAAATACATACAAATGTCTTCTTATAGAGAACCACTGAATGGAATGAAACCAAACATGGCATGAATGTTCCGTATGAGTAGCTGACCAAGTGTTGTTACTTTGAAGCCGATCCATCATCCAATATGGCCGCCAGCGGGGGACTTAGTTTAAAATAGGACCCTATGGGAAATACATACAAATGTATTATTTTAGAGAACCACTAAATGGAATGAAACCAAACATGGCATGAATGTTCCTTATGAGGTGTTGACCAAGTGTTGTTACTTTGAAGCTGATCCATCATCCAATATGGCCGCCAGCGGGGGACTTAGTTTAACATAGGACCCTATGGGAAATACATACAAATGTCTTCTTTTAGAGAACCACTGAATGGAATGAAACCAAACATGGTATGAATGTTCCTTATGAAGTGCTGACCAAGTGTTGTTACTTTGAAGCCGTTCCATCATCCAAGATGGCCACCAGCTGGGGGACAGTGTTTAACAAAGGATCCTATGGACAACACATACAAATGTCTTCTTTTAGAGAACCACTGAATTGATTGAAACCAAACATAGTATAATGTTCCTTATGAGGTGCTGACTAAGTGTTGTTACTTTGAAGCTGATCCTTCATCAACGATGGCCGCCAGCGGGGGGGGGGGGGACTTCCTTTAACATAAGACCCTATTTAAAATACATACAGGTGCACTGAATGGAATGAAACCAAACATGGCATAAATGTTTCTTATGAGGTGCTGATGAAGTGTTGCTACTTTGTTGCTGATTTACTGTTTAAGATGGCCACCAGGAGTTTTTATTAAATTACAGGGCCAATATTAAACCAAGTTTGGCCTCACTCATTATTAGGGTATCTGTTATGATTTTAATCTATTTTAACATGATTTCAAAAACCAAATTGAATCAGGTGAGCGACACAGGCTCTTGAGAACCTTTAGTTTTTTTATTTATTTAAATTTTTTAATTCAATTTTCTTTTTTTGGCTGTTCCTAGTTGTTTCTCCTTTTCTAAGCATTATTTTGGGTAGGCTCCTCAGGGGCACCCTTTTTAAAGATCCTTGTGCAGCTAAAAAAAACTTGAATAAACTTAACAGTTTATGCCAACAATTTTTTTTCTCCTTTTTCTGGCATTTCCTTGACTTCAAAATCTTGATCTGGCATTTATAATACTTGACCATCACTTTAAATCACTTTGACAGTCATTTTGAACATTATTGATACAAGAAGGGTATATCTTTAGGAGTTATGCTTTAATTAGGTGTCATTATTCAAACGAGGAATTTAGTTTGGAAAGATGAAGCAGACGATTAAAATGTTTTGCTCCCGTTTGTCTTTTTAATCGTGTCAGAGGCTCACTTTTTCGTCCTGTTTGATAATACTCAACCGATTTAACAATGGCCTTACAAATGTGATAACAAGATCTGTCAAAATGACAGCAAACCAGGTTTCTATTACATTTTTACATTTATTGCTTTAATTGTGTTGCCCTGCGGATATCTTTTGTTTGTATATTGTTGGATTGCTGTCTCATTCTTTAATACCTCGAATCTCAAAACACATTCTTACCCCAAATATTTTGATTGCCGCGGTACTCTGGAAAAGGAATTTCTACAGGTAAGTAAAATACCTAATAGCTGGTACACTTACCTGGGATTATCGATTTATTTATAGGGTTAACATGACACTGTCCCGGAATAGAAGTTCCTTCATAATAAAAGTTCCAAAAGGAAAATATATTCTGGAATATTATTTCCACGGGAATAAATATTACAGTATATGTTCCTAACGGAATAAATGGTATAGAATATTTGTTCCAACAGGAATAGATATTATGACATTGTTTATAACAAAGTTTCCAGTGGAACTTCTGTTAGGCGGAACAAATATACGTTGACAACACGCTTCATTTAAAACATATTAGATGGCTTTAAATGTGGAGGTTTTTAAGATTAAATTCTTGTGATATTTTGCAAGTAGTAGTGACAGAGAGTCATTTAAAATTGCACATGTACACAAAAACAATATAAAGATTATTTTTACTTTAAATTTGATATGGGAAATTCTTGCTTATTTTTATTTACTCATTTTCTAGGTCAATTTTGCTGTTCAAAGTTTTCTTTCAATTTACATTTGTAGTATAGTTTTCAACTTCCATATATTCAAATGGGTCAATTTAATTCATTTTCTATGACCTTTTTTTTCATTAATTACATTTGTACAAGATATGGTAATAAAAACTGCTCTGTTAATTTTTAGCTCACCAGGCCCAATGGGACAAGAAAGCTTTTCTCATCACTTGGCGTCCGTCGTCCGTCGTCGATATTCGTTAACTTTAAACAAAAATCTTCTTCTCTGAAAGTACTGGGCCAAATTTAACCAAACTTGGTCACAATCATAATTGGGGTATCAAGTTTAAAATTGTGTCCGATGACCCGGCCCGCCAACCAAGATGCACGCCATGGCTAAAAATGGAACATAGGGGTAAAATGTAGATTTTGGCTTTTATCTCTGAAACCATAGCATTTAGATCAAATCTGTCAATGGGTAAAATAGTTTTTCAGGTCAAGTTCTATCTTCCCTGAAATTGTCAGACAAATCAGACAACCTGGTGTTGGCTTGCTACCCTTGAATTGGTAATTTTTAGAAAACTTTGCAGTTTTTGGTTATTATCTTCAATATTATCATAGATAGAGATAAACTGTAAACATCAATAATGTACATGAGGGTAAGATCTACAAATAAGTCAACATGACCAAAATCGTCAAAACAGTCAGATGACTTCTTACAGGAGTTATTGCCCTTAAATGACAAATTTTAATTATTTTTTTCATGTTTGCATATCATTTTGAAAACAATTACAGATATTTAAAAATTTTAATAAGCAATAATCATCAGATGAACAAGATCTCCAAATAAATCAAACATGGCCGAAATCACGCTTGTTAGAACTACTACTAGTAGATCTCTGTGGCTCTCTTCTTGTTCGATTAAAGTAATACCTATGAATTTTAAATCTTAATTAGAGGTCAAGTCACCACTCTTAAAAGATGCTAATCTTGGGCTCTTGGGTCCAGGAAAAAAATATAGAAAAAGATTGACACAATTCTGTTGTCAGTCTCCATAATAATCAGTAACTTTGCTGTGACAAACAATTGAAAAACTTATAATAAACAAGGCAAAATTAAGTAAAGTTTCTTATAAACCTGGTACCTTTGATAAATATTTACACCACTGGGTCGATGCCACTGCTTGTGGACGTTTCGTCCCCAGGGGTATCACCAGCCCAGTAGTCAGCACTTCGGTGTTGACATGAATATCAATTATATTGTCATTTTTATAAATTTACTGTTTGCAAAAGTATGATTATTCGAAATACTAAGGATTTTCTTATCCCAGGCATAGATTACCTTAGCCGTATTTGGCACATTTTTTTGTAGGAATTTTGGTTCCTGAATGCTCTTCAACTTTTTACTTGTTTTGGCTTTCTAACTATTTTGATCTGAGCGTCACTGATGAGTCTTATGTAGACGAAACGCGCTTCTGGCGTATCAATTTATAAGCCTGGTACTTTTGATAACTATTTGATGATCCTTTACCAGTAATAATTTACTAAAAATATATAAAAAATAATGTATGTTCATGAAACAGCAGCACGGCATACTTGTAATGTGTGTTTTAACATTGAAAACTTAAAATGATAAATGGGTTGAAAGCAGTTAAATCAAACGAAAGATTAAATTTTGATCCACACAGATTCATTTAAAAAAGTATGATTGTTGCATTGTTTCATGCCTCAATTGTGAACAAAAATATCAGGTGAGCGGCACAGGCTCCTTGGAGCCTCAAGTTTTAACTAAAACATGTTTAATATAAAAAATGAGGAGAAATTAAGATTGCCACTTGAAATGGAGCAGGTAGGGACTGTAATTTTGCCTATCAACAGGCCACCTACGGACCCCTCCGAAGAGTTGTTGATAGGGTTATTTATCGTTCGAAGAGCGTGGCTTCTCTCTCAACACGGAACTTCGGATTTCAACTAGAATTCAAAACGTTTTCTTCCACCGAAGACAACTAATAGGCGGAATATACATCATGATACTGAACACATGATAGGAAAACAATTTTTGCTTTCCTTCTCATAGGAAAACAAATATTTTGTCGAAGGAAGGTTTCGAAAAAAAATTAAGAGCACAGTGAAAATCGCAGCCCCCCCCCCCCCCCCCCGATAAGAAATGGTTGTTGCCTTAAACAACAACTTTTTTTATTAAGCAACACATACTAGGTGACAGACACTTTGCTATACATATTTGCATCTTAGTGGGTGTCCCCTGGTTTTAAACAAATATATCTGGAATCGACAAACTCAGTTGACATACGGGATGGCCTAGCTCTGAGGAGGGTTGCCCTGAAAAATCTCCTAAAAAACCCGAAACATTGAATAAAATACATGTAATACAAAACACAATGTAAGGTAAAAGTTGCGATCTATTAAGTAAATGGTGGGGGGGGGGGGGGGTGGGGGGGGGGGGTTATAATAATTTAAAAAAAAGAATGTGCATATATAGAAAAATTACAAAGAAAAAGTATGTGCATATATAGACAAAGTATGTGCATATATAGACAAAGTATGTACATATATAGACAAAGTATGTGCATATATAGACAAAGTATGTGCATATATAGACAAAGTATGAGCATATATAGAAAAAGTATGTGCATATATAGACAAGTATGTGCATATATAGACAAGTATGTGCATATATAGATAAAGTATGTGCATATATAGACAAGTGCATATATAGAAAAAGTATATGCATATATAGAAAAAGTATGTGCATATATAGAAAAAGTATGTGCATATATAGACAAGTATGTGCATACATAGAAATAAGTACATATAAGGCAGCTATGGCGTTCCATATTTTTACATATAACTGAACTACACAAGACAAGGGTTTTTCTGTCTAAGGATGGTATCTAATTATGTATTCAAGAAACCTTGGAAGATTTCATTTGAAAATTGTTCAATCTTGAGTTATATATAGAAACTCGAGTAGACATTTTATTATTTGGAATGTATGAACAGTATTCCCTTACATATTTTAGCTTAAATTATTATCAATAAATGCTTTTTGAATGGAGTTTATTTGATTCCCTCATGTGTTGTTTTCTTTAATTTTTACAAGGGTTGACCGTGAGGGCATTCCGATATAATGTTGCCACAGACATTTCTACCCACGTGACTTGTGTTTTTTTACTGATAACCGAACATATTTCGTATAATTACGCGGATATCGAGTGCAAAATAACATTCCTTATCCAGTGGCGGATCCCAAAGGGGGGGGGGTCCGTGGGTTTGAACACCCCTTTTTATGGACGATCAATGCATTTGAATGGGGACATATAGTTGGAACCCCCCTTCTAAAAATGGCTGGATCCGCCCCTGTTATCGCTTGTTATATATTAATTTCATCAATAAATATTCATGAAAAATATTTTTAAGAACATAGATAAATGATATGAAAATGTTTTGTTATGAGAAATATTTATATCAATAACAAATCAAGAATACCGAAAATTTGTGTAAACGCATGCGGAAGAATATCTCAAGAACGTTTTGCAACAAACGCGGGAAAATATAAATGCCTACTCAAATCCAATCTATTAAAAAAACGAATTATTACAGAAGATTGTCCACCATGCACTTGTACTGCATTATCATTAGAATAGTAGAATAGAATGATATACAAATGGATGAAAATTTGACTAGAGTTATTAAGATGATCTGCTATATCTGAGACTACTATAACACAGAGATTGGTCACTTCCCGTACTGACCAGTCAAATAGTAATTAATTGTAAGTCTTCGATCACGTGACTCGGCACGTGACTCGCAATGATTGACAAGAAGGATTCGACCGCCATTTTTGACAGCGAAAGAGAAAATAATAATTAACAAATGTGGATTTATAAAGAGTGTTATGTTCCGGTAAGTGTGAATATAAGATTTGACATGTTCATAAATGTTGGTTTATAAGCACTTTAAATAAAATAAGTGCAGTTATAGACTTGAATTTACCGACCAAACCGGAAAGTAACCTCGAGTTATTACCAGTCCGTGGGACAGGGTCAATGAGCAACTCACCCATAACTTACATTCAGATGAACAATCTGTTTTCCGGATAATGTATGTGCAAGCCTTAGTAATTAACCGATGTAATGATGTAAAATTTGTAATTATATGAAATTCCAATTTTTCTGTATCAGTAAGTTCCCGCTGCAGAACTGAGAAACACACGAGACAAGTTGCACACACACAACATGAGGTATGATAGGTGAATTTGTATTGTTAGTGAAAGAAATTTAGATTTATATTTGGTTCCCTTGATAATATATATGCAGTCTATACATGCTAGTATAATAATATTATGCAATGAAAATGTGTCACCATGTGAAATACCAGTACATCATGAGTTCCTAAATAGACGTATTTTTTTTAAATAATTGACCCAAACATGATGTAAAAAGTACGTACACCTTTGGTCTGCATCCTTTATCAGTTTAACTATTTTGATCCATATTGACATGATTGGTCAATTACTGCTGAGTCTCAAGTCTCAGATTACTGTCTTAAAAATTAAT